AATTAAATAACTTGTATAATTTGTGAAAAACATGTTAACTCAAGCGTTACCTTATCATCCCACAGGAACTATTAGTGATGTGGCCCATTATTTTAAAGTGAAAAACATGTTAACTCCTCAATGACTATAAGCGTTTTTTATTATTATAAGCACTGAAACATTTCCACAAAATCATAAAAGAAAATCACATAATGCAAAAATGCACAACTGGGCTTGCAAGAATATTGTCTTCTAATATCTTTTAGCAAATATCCTATAGGACCATCCCTGTGGTTGTGTCCAAGCCAGTATGTCCACTCAATGCAGGTCAAATATTTTCTGTCCTATTGCCGCTCAACCTCCAAATCTGGCTTTTATATGTTGACCAAGCTCGTCAGTGAGAATTTAACATGTTTTTCACTTTAAAATAATGGGCCACGTCACTAGTAGTTCCTGCGGTATGACAAGGTAACGCTTGAGTAGTTAGTGAGGAGTTAACATGTTTTTCATAATTAAAACAAGTTATTTAATTTTATATTTGACACATACTGTACCTTTACTTTTGGTTATTATTTCTTAGTTCACAAGTAGTTCTCAGTGAGGATATATTTCCTTAGTAATAATCAAATACCTACCAAGGAACTCCCTTAATACTAAATTACCTATTACTTGCTTCTTAGTTAATATTGCTTCCACATTAATTAATAGTATTAGGTTCGGTGTTAATACCTATTACTTCCTGCATAGCTACTTGTTAACTCATGCGGTCCCTTTAAGTAAACAACGTCATGTCATAAATGATACGAAACCAGTAGGAAACACAGCCGTGGTGATAATGGGCTATAAGCACGCATAAGTTCCGCATTTGACGCAAAGATGCTCGTCAATTTGGTTGGGGACATTAAAGCGGAGGAAAACCGAGGAAAACGGGATTATGGCAAAGTCTACAGTGAGTTACTGTATTAAAATGCAGTGCATATTACAGTAGTTAATTACGGCAAAGTCTAACAGTGCATAGAAAATTTGTGGAGGGAGTTGAAAGTCCATGTTGCCCAGCAACAGTCCCGAAACATCACTGCTCTAGAGGAGATCTGTGTGGAGGAATTGGCCAACTACAGTGTGTGTGTAAACCTGGTGAAGACTTACAGGAAGCGTTTGACCTCTGTCATTGCCAACAGAGGTTATGTTACAAAGTATTGAGTTGAATTTTTTTTTATTGATCAAATACTTTTCTACGGAGGCGTATTGCATTCACTTGAAGAAAAAAAATCTACTCTGTTTTTCTGAATTAACGAGTTAATTTTTCATGAGAAAATTTTTTTGCTGTTTTTCTGAATTAATGAGTTAATTTTTCATGAGAAAAAATTTTTTTGCTCTGTTTTTCTGAATTAACGAGTTAATTTTCCATGAGAAATTTTTTTTTGCTCTGTTTTTCTGAATTAATGAGTTAATTTTTAATGGATTTTTTTTGCTCTGTTTTTCTGAATTAATGAGTTAATTTAGAAAAACAGCAAAAATAAATTTTCTCATGAAAAATTAACTCATTAATTCAGAAAAACAGAGCAAAAACTTTTTTTCTCAAGAAAAACTAACTCATTAATTCAGAAAAAGAGAGCAATTTTTTTCTCATGAAAAATTAACTCATTAATTCAGAAAAACAGAGCAAAAACTTTTTTCTCATGAAAAATTAACTCATTAATTCAGAAAAACAGAGCAAATTTTTTTTCTCATGAAAAATTAACTCATTAATTCAGAAAAACAGAGCAAAAACTATTTTTCTCATGAAAAATTAACTCATTAATTCAGAAAAACAGAGCAAAAACTTTTTTTCTCATGAAAAATTAACTCATTAATTCAGAAAAACAGAGCAAAATTTTTTCTCATGAAAAATTAACTCGTTAATTCAGAAAAACAGAGCAATTTTTTTTCTCATGAAAAATTAACTCGTTAATTCAGAAAAACAAAGTAGATTTTTTTTCTTCAAGTGAATGCAATACGCCTCCGTAATTTTCCACCATAATTTACAAATAAATTCTTTAAAAATCCTACAATGTGATTTCTTGGATTTTTTTTTCTCATTTTGTCTCTCATAGTTGAAGTGTACCTACGATGAAAATTACAGACCTCTCTCATCATTCTAAGTAGGAGAACTTGCACAATCAGTGGCTGACTTAATAGATTTGGCCCCACTGTATGTGTAAATAAACCCCCTCAAACTCAATTCTGTCACTTGGACACCTCTAAACCTGCGTAAAAAAATAATAACCAGTTACTTAACTATATAGCACCGTTGACACAAGTGAGGGCATTTCGCAACTGAAATAACAGCAACAAGGAAGAACTCAGACATGAATGGAATCACTGATTTTACTTTGATGATACCAATCTCTCATTTTAAACCGTCTAGAATCTGTAGAACCGCATTTTTCCATCTTAAAAATATATCTAAATTACGCCATATGCTCTCATTGACAAATGTGGAACATTTAGTTCATGCGTTCATGACATCAACTGCTGGACAAGGAAGGCCTGCAAACATTGTTTTGCGAGGTAGAAGCAATACTCAATGACCGGACAATTCTGTAACTAAGGTTTCAGAAGATCCCAATGATTTAGAAGTGCTCACTCCAAATCACATTCTCCTGCTAAAAGGCAAGCCCATGATGCCATTAGGCCTGTTCGAAAAATCAGACCTGTACATTAAGAGGAGATGGAGGCAAGTGCAGTACGTTGCTGACCTTTTCTGGAAAAGGTGGACAGCAGAGTATTCGCTTGATATGCAAGAAAGGTGTAACGGCACCTGTAAGAGACAGATTATTCTCCTGTAACACACAGGAGAGAAACGAGGAATGAACACAATATGTTCATTAAACAAATCTGTTTTTTAGAGTCACATTTTGCTCAACATATCACATTTTTAATGCCTTCTCAAGATTATAATGACTTTCAATGTTCATGTCAATTCACAATCTGAAATAAATAAACTTCTCAATTTCACAGTCATGTTTACTGAGTCTGTATGTTTATATTTCACACTATTCGTCAAAAAAGAAATACAAAAACCACAATAATATACCTCAATTACTTCTCTTAAACGATTAACCATTTAAATTCACAATATTTGACCAGTATCACATTACTACGATGCTTCAAATCACTCTCAGAATTGTTAAAATACTTTAACCATTATCAATCGACATTACAAACACATATTTAGTACGTTAAACAATACCTTGAAGCTTATAAAATACCTTCACGTGCATTTGAATGAGTATAAATATATATTTTTACTGACATGCTCACAAACGTTAGATGTGCGTTTAGTAGGCCGCTAATCAGTCGAGCTTTTCTCTCGCTCAAATCAAAACTCAAAAACAACCTCTGACGAAAATCACTTCTCCAAAACAATTCACTTACACTCTATACACATTTCAGAATGGTTCAATTCAACTTTAAAGTGTTTTTATACATTTACCTAACCCACCTGTAACACACAGGAGAGGAACGAGGAGGTTCAAGCTCTCTGGAGTAAAAGACTCACGACCCGCACAGCTTAACACCCATCGCTCGACACTCTGCCCCTAACGGTCAGGGGTGGCAATGCACACTTCTCTTTATTTAAAAGGACATTTTTTGAGATAGGAATTTTGGGTTTTCATGAGCTGTATGCCAAAATCATTAGTATTAACCCTTGTGCTGCATTAGATTTTTAACACCGTTGAGTGCATTAAGGACCAAAAATGGCCACATGTTAAACATTGCCTAAAATATTATATATTATTATTATTTTCCACTTTTACCAAGTTAAATCTTTTAACCAGCATCAGTCCTCATCATAACTACCAAAAATAAATTCAATTTCAGGATTTTAACCCTTTAATTACCAGTTTTGTTTGCGAAACCATCGATTTGTATAAGAGGAAAAAACACAAAAATTCAATTATTTTCAATAAACTAAATGCAAAGAGAAAACTTTAGATTTGGATTATCACAGTCCCACTTTGCAAAAAATCCCACTTAGCGCGTTAGAGACCAAAAATGGCCACCTATTAAACATTGCCTATTGCCTAAAATAAGGTGCATTTCCACCCATAGGGAATAAATATGTAGTGACGTCATCTGGTGGAATACACTATATAATGCAAATATAATGCTTTTGCTTCAAAATGAAAGGATGTTTGTGCAAAAATCATGTTTCATGTATTACTGACAGCCTCAGATTTAAACAACGTTTTAATGGGTTTCAATGGGCCATTTTTGGTCTTTATGGTGCTGAGTGTTACTATTTGATCTACACAGTGTGTGTTATACATATTTTGCAAAATGGGATCACATTTTTTACATGTATCCAAAAAGTCACAATTTTGCCAAATTTCATACCATTTGCATTAAAACAGCCAAAATGGTCAAAGAAATTAAACTGCAAAAGACCAAAAATGTCCCTAATGCAGCATAAGGGTTAAAACAATAAAAGACCTAAAATATTTCAGTTGGTGTGCAATGAATCTTAAATATATGAAAGTTTAATTTTTATCATTACATTAGAAAATAATGAACTTTACAATATGCTAATTTTCTGAGAAGGACCTGTTAGTTTTTGGACCGTGATTCCCAAACACACACACATATATATATATATATATATATATATATATATATATATATGTGTGTGTGTGTGTGTGTGTGTAAATAAATATAACAATAAATATGTATTAAATAAATATGACAATTCACTGTAAAGGGATGGTTCATACAAAATAAAATTGTCATTATTCGCTCACCCAAACCTGTATGTTTTTATTCATTTAACACAATATGATAAATTTTTGATGAGCTCTTTCCATGTTACAGGTCATCGTGATTCACTATCGATCTCATATAAAGTACAGTATCTCATAGAGTACTTTATTCATGCAACTTATTCAATACACTGACAATTAACCCCCCCAAAATTATTAGAAAAATACAACAAAAGTACACTGTGTGTATGATGCACTTTAATTTTATTATTTTGGGGGGGGGGGGGGTTTATTGGTCAATATATGGAAAAACTCAAATATGCCATTTTAATAATAAACCAGCACACTGGATCAAACAACATGAGGAGAATATCATGACAGAATTTTCCTTCTGAAGAGAATTATTGACTTTATGTCAGATTTCTGAGGCTGATATGAATGTACTCAGAGATTGTGTCCAGTGTTTCTCCTTCAGTGACAGACACACACACCTCTATAAGAGTTCAATGTCATTTTATAACACACACACTTCATTACAATCATCAGTCCTGCACAGAACAAAATTTGAGAAATGAACTTACAGAGACTCCATTATTCCCTATAGTGCTGATCCATCACTCGATCTGATGTTGCACATTCTTAACTAAACTGATATAATCAGACATAAACAAACAGATATCTCTTCAAAATCCAAACTCTTTTCAGGTAATAGCCATCATATCTGAGCGTCACTGCATTTTCTCCATGATAAATCTCCTCTGAACATGACCAGGTCACACTTCACAACACAATGCAAAACATATGAGGAATTATGAGAAACTTGACTGTATTCTTACTGCATTTTTGTTTTAAATCCTTGTGACATTTTCTTGCCAATTAAGCATTTTAATTGCATTACAATATAAAAAACATTCAATAATTTAAAAAAAGAAATCAATAAGCATAAATTAAAGGCAGTACAATAAATATGACCATGATGTATAAATAATTACAATTTAAAAATATATATATATATTTGTATTTTATTAGAGTTTCTATTACAATTTGGGGGTTTAAGTGTGCTTAATTGTCCTGAATATGTCGTCACAATGCATCATGTGTGGCTAAGATATGACGTGGGCATGTTTTTGAAGGGTTTAGTGAGATTAAGTGAGCGCTTAAGATTTTTTCAATGATAATGTTGATGATCTCACATTCAAAGGACGCCGTTCTTGTATTTGTGAGATGGCTTAATAATAAGGAAATAAGTTGTTTTGACTGATAACAGTTTTGTCCCGTTACAAGAAACACTTTCAAAGAAAAGTAACTGTGACGAACACAAACCGCCTGCTTTTGTTGGACATATTTCAGCTGGTTTAAGTAGTGAGTTATGAGCAAAATCTACTTAATACCGTCATTTTACAGGAAAGTCACGAGAATTTGTAAATACTTAGCCCAAAACCAGCTTTTCCGAGTATAAAATGGCTAAAACTGACATTAGATACAGAATCCCTGCTGTAAAGTCACAATATCCTTCGACTAGATCTCACATCATATCGTTGAACACAAATAAAAATCACTGTGCTAATAAGAGATAAGGTTAGAGATCTTGGCAGCCGTTGTGTGTGTAACTAAACCATGAACAGATGACAGGTTTGAGGAATTGTGCGGATACATCTGTGTTTTGTTTGTTACGGCTCTTTCTAGGAACAAAGGCCTGTTAGTTTGGCTTTTTAGTCTTCGGCTACAGATGATTTCCAACGGGGGCACTTCAAGATTTCTCACATCGATGCCCATGTCAAGCTTCTGTGTTCAATTTAATTCCCACAATGCGAGATCCAGAAGTCTCATACTGAAGACATAATGGAGTTGAAAGGGTAAATTTCCCTCCTTTTCTTCTCATATCTGTTAGCAGAACTAGTGCGCACACCTCCATGTCCAGGTTTGTCACACACATCTCGATCTCAGTTGTGGACGTCGGGCTCATCGGACAGATCGGCTCAGAGACTCTTGGGAGGTTTTTGCTCTTTCTTTGCCCTTTTTCTGAACTAATCATGTTCTTCTCAATCTCTGTGGCCTTTGGCACATTATAAAGTCTTCAGGCGAGAGCTACACAAGTCCATTTACTCAAATGACATGAGATTCGCTGGTATCTAAAAGAGTGGAAAGAGCAATAATGGCGTCATAATGCTGAGATAAACGCCCGTTTCACACATACTCCGTTTGCAGTGCGTATGCGGTCCGTATTTTTTTCCGTATATGTTAACAGGTTAGAGCTTTCACACTGCGCGCGGATGCAGTCCGTCGATCCGTTCCAGTTCCAGATCGTTTCCGCACCGAGTCTATTTCTGCTGTGCTGCAAACGCAGAAATAAAGTGACAGCGCATGGTTCGTGGTCAAAATGAACTCAGATTGACCTCGGAATGTAGTAGTTTCACCATAAATGCATTTAATTCAATAAAATGTAGTAGGCTAATCTCTCCATAAATGTCTTTAATTGTTTCATATTTTTACTTTAAGACATTACTTCTTAATATATGTATATAGAAGGAATGCATGGATGCATTTGTTGTTTAAATTTTGTTTAAACATGCATGCGTCCATTCAAGTTTGTAAAAGTGTACAAAGAGAACCGCAAAGCTGACAAAACTTTTCTTTTAATAAAAGTTGCTGCATATGGTGAACATATTTTGATTAGGCTACCAAAAACCAGAAAACAAATAATACTCGAGAAGTTTACTCAAAGATGACTTATTAATTTAAATACAATTAAAATAGGCTATGCCCACTCATGTGGATAGAAAATTGTTATATTAAGACACAAATTCTCAGAGGATACTCAACATGTTTTATTATGACAGGTTTAAAAAATAATGAATGAAATAATGATTAAAAAATAATGCCTCTTCTGTATTAGAAAGATAAATATATAAATGTTAATTAACTAAAAGAAATACCTTCAAATTGAACAAAAATACCTCTCACAGACGTACAAAAACGAACTAGTTTTCTTCCCCTTTATCCTGTTTTTTTTCCTCATCCTCCTTGTTTGCCCATCTCCTATATTTTGCTGTAAAGCTCAGTCCCTCCAGGATTTCACAATTTTTTTTTGGAATTTTTGCGATCAAAATGACTGATTTTGTGGTGGTAATTTCCAAAAATTTGTGAAAAAATTTGCGACATTTATATATAATATTTACCATAATAGTTTTCAGTCCTTCCAGAAAAACGCTGAGTTTTTTTGTGATTGTTGCGGGCAAAAATTGATTGATTACGCGGCCCGTTTTCTTTTAAAATGCAATGGAATATGCGGGATATTTATGCAATGAAATTGCAGGAATTTGCAAAAATTGAGGGAACTTGCAAAAATTGCGGTTTGATGAAAAAGAGAAAGAGAAAAAATGATTCCCCCAAACATCGTGTTCTCACTAGGCTAATGTAAGAGTCATTTCTTATTACTTCCTTTGATAAGCAAGCATACTACATCATAGAAAGTGCTGGGAATATTTAATTTCTCATCTTGTTTATTTCAGACTATAACGAGTGTAAATAAGGTGTGGCCCCTTTAAGAGCTGCGCGCTCCTGTTGAACTCTCTGCAGTGTTGTATGTGCGCCTCAAACACCCATGTGTGCGGGTAATTTCTGTTTTTGATGCTACACTTCTTTTATCTTATGTTGTTTATTAAGTAAGACGTGACGGTAGTAGAACGTGTGACAGACAGTATACGAGTTCGATTTGTTGATGTCAATCGCCTCCGTGAGTCTGTCTGGCGTCGCGTAATTGCGTCACTTCATAACGTTCCCATGGAAACAGGGGGAAATGGCTGCTCTTGTGTGAAGCAAACGCAACATTTTTCAACTTTCTGCTAAAATACATGTGACTTTTTTGCAGCGAAACTTTTTTTGCAGCGAGGATTATGAAATTATGCAAACCCCGCATATTTTGCACGGAAATCGGCAATTTATGCGGCGAAAGTGCGGCGTATTTGAAAAAATGAGGCCCCCGCATAAATATGCGGACTTTGGCTGATTTTGCATTGAATTCAGCGATCGCATAATCGCGTTTTTCTGGAGGGACTGAAAGCTGATCTTTCCCACCATTTTTTTTTTGTTGAAAACCAGGACATCACTTTATAAAAAACGGCCAGGACAGGACGTGAAAACAGGACATGTCCTGGGATAACAGGACTGTTGGTCACTGGTCGCCCTATTGCTGCATAACTTCTGATTTTGAAATAAAAATAGCGAGTGTTTGTGTTACAGCTCACGCTCTGCAAACGCAGCATGTGAAAGCACTTTAGTGCGTGCGGCTCCTGTACCGGATACGCACCGCAACACTCACCGCATACGCACTGCAAACGGAGTATGTGTAAAACGGGTGTATAAGACTGGACATGATGCTGGAGTTTAGATGATCAGTCGCAGAGCAATGTCACAACTTGCTTACTATAAAATGAATTAAATCAGAATTTAGAGTCTTCATTTTTTTCAATATTTGATATGTTTATCTATTTTATATAAATAAAAAAATATTTTGTTTACACTTTATTTTAAGGTGATGTTGTTACATTGTACTCAAATAAGTACTGAGTAATACTTTATATATAATACAGTGTATATATAGACTATTACAATTTATAGTCAACATGAGTTGATATTATAATAGTGCATATTCCATAAAAAATAACTATATTGCAATATATATATATATATATATATATCATTTTGGTCATACCGTCCAGTCCCATCACAAGATAATTATATTGCTAGCATGTAAATATTGGTGTCAGAAGAACACATTTGTGTATACCTGAGGTCTTCTTCTCCGACAGGCGTCCTCCAGCCGCTTGTGCCAGATGATCGCAGAGAACCGATCTCCGGTCTGAAACTTGTAAACATTCCCTAACAAACACAGAGATTCTGCTCAAGTAACTATTCATTTAACACTCACCAAATCTGTCCTTTGTGAAACTCCTGTGGAAGAGATGTACCTTTATCAGGATCGTTGAGCTGGAAGATGTTGGGTTGATCCGGATCATCCGGCAGAACAACCATCCAGCCCAGAACAGACACTTTCTTACACGCGTGAGACTTGTACTGTTTAGAGGAGCAACATTTCATACAATCTTATTTTTAATTCCATTTCAAATTATTAAATTCGTCTTCTTGAAAGAATCACATAAATCTCTATCAATATTTGACGATTTTATTGATTTATTTGTAAATGTGAATTGCTCTGACATTGTTTCAGCGTGTGCAGAAACACTCACATGTTTGCGTTCAGCGGCTCGAAGAGCTTTCGATCTGTAGAACATCAGAGTCGAACCACACAGCGAGATCCAATACCGGCTCCATGAGGCAAGCTACACACACGATCAAACAACTCATTTCACACAATACACTCCGATTTTTGTAGCCCTCAAACCGTATTCACTTTATAGCCCTTAATCCTGTAATTGTTGACGAATGTGGGCACAGAGGACTCAGGTGTGATCCTAATTTTTATTTATTATAAATGTTATATCACTGTCTTCGATAAAGTTTTGTCTATCCATTTATGGTGTTTTTTTAAAATTATTTATTTACTTCAAAAAGTTCCACATTTTCTATGTAAATTATGCTTATTTTTTTATTTTATATTTTTTTTAACTACATTAAAATATAATTCCAATAAGTACTTAGAGCTAAAACCTGAAAATGAAGTGACTTTGCTGTCACCTGGTGTCTTATTTTGGCTTATTTTAGACTGCTCTAAATGACAGTTTTTCCCATTCATTTCTATGGGTGCCCATTTTTGACCCAAATACAAGATTAAGGATTTTTTTTCACCCATTTAACATTGTAGAATTGAGTCAAAAAAAAAAGTAGCCAAAAAAAAAAAAACTTGGAAAAGTAGCCAAGTCTTGTACCGCTCAGATCAAGGGAAGTATTTTTTTTTTTTAAATAAATCAAAACTATTTTGCCCACATTTGTCCAGAATACGGTTTTAGGGTTAAATGACACTTATATTCTTGACACTTGTATAAACTTAAACTATAAACTTGACACTTATATTCAGCAATTAATTTATTCAAAAATGACTGTAAAGTCTTTTATAATGTAACAAAAGATTACATTTCAAATAAATGCTGCTTTCTTGAAAGAAAGAATCCAGAAACAAAATGTATCATGGTTTCCACTAAAATATGAAGCAGCATAACTTTTCTCAATGTGACAATAATCATAAATGTTTCTTGAGCATCAAATCATCATATTAAGAGTGATTTCTGAAGGATCATGTGACTCTGAAGACTGGAGTAATGATGCTGAAAATACAGCTTTGATCACAGGAATAAATTACATTTTACAATATATTCACAAAGAAAAAAACTATTGTGAAATTGTGATAATAATATTACTGTACTTTTGATTAAACCAGTCTTAGTTAGCATAAAGACTTTTAAACGGTAGTGTACCATGATGCACAGTAGCTGAGCAAAACTGACTATGACTTTCTGTCAGTATTAATACTTTAATGTTGCCTTTATTATTTTTAAATCAAGGGAAAACATTAGGATATATACATATAAGATATTGTTTCAAAGAAGGCGCACTGCAGAAATAGATTATGGCCTGTTTTTGTAGATGTAGGTCACTAGATGGAGCGCTTGATCAACTATTGAGCTCAAAGCCGCAGAACACCTGCTGGAATTGGGGAATTTTCCCTGAAACCTTGTGCAACCTTTAAACAAAATAAAGTCGAAGCTACAAACTTTGCCCTGTTGCATTCTTTCTCGTTGTAAAATATTTTGTCAAATCAACAAATCTGGAGAGCTACGGTGTGTGTCAATGCCATTATCCATCCCGGTGTGATATGTTTTTACCGTAGGCTTCTTGCCCTCCTTCATCAGGGTTTTCCTCTTCACCGGCCCCTGCATCGTGACGCCTGGCTCTCCGGGACTCACACTGGGCTCTGCTAATGACGGGCTGACAGTGGGAAAACACATCAGCTGAACACCTCCACAACAACCCGTGTGTGTGTGTGTGTGTGCATAGAGCGTTCAGTGGACATATGGTGATAGTTGCTTCTTTAACCATGTAATGAGCCCTAAGAGAACAGAAGTTACAGTTCACATCTGATCTGAGGATGTGATGGAGTAAAGATGAGCATGTGAGAGTGTAAAGAGGACAGAAAGATTCGACACCGGCTCTGTGTGGAAACCCAATGAGCTGCCGAAGTCCTCCACTCCAGATTCTCAATGGAAACTGTTCCAAGCCTCTTCAGGACTTTTGTTTGGTTTGATATTTCAAGTTTTATTTAATTTAATGGACAAACGGGGCAATTTTATACAATATTTGAATTTAAATATTTAAAATACCCTTTATTTTCTGAATTTCCACTACCCATTTCTTTACTCTCTCAAACGACTGATATTTTGCATACACAGTAGCGGCCAAAAGTGATGTCCGGCTTAGGAAATTGAACATCCTGACCCTTTATGTAAATATTATTGTATTATTATTATTATTATTATTATAAAGTAAATGTAAAAAGGCATATTGCGTAATCAATCGGAGTCAATTGTTTTATTTTTGATGACGTAATGAAACATGCCAATTTGTGCAACGTTATTTTTGGTCAAGCTGTCATACACAGAAATTATGAACACATGCAAAAACAAGTGAGAACCAACGGCATATTAATAACTGATTATGTTGTAGTCAATGCATGAGTTTTTATGTTTTTTATGCATTTTTTTGACCTGTATAAAACCTGTAGTTGAAGTGTTTTGTTCTTCCCTCATATTTGGAATATTTAATAATTATGAAATATTTTCCTCTTCTATGGCCATAAAAACAAAATATCTCCTCTGGGTATGACTTTTTGCCACTACTATATCTGGATATATATTTTACAATGAACTTAAATAGATTGTTTTTATAGATTATGAATGACTAGAAATAGTCATTTTATACTATAGCATCATTGCAGTCACTGTTGCACTCTGGGAGATTGAGTCTCCTGTGTGTCTGTATCACACTTGCATTGCTTCTAGAAACTTCTTATAAATAAAGTATAAATTATCTGAAAAAATCTGAGGTTTTCAATCTTTTTGATGCCTAGATATGATCCTTCTTGAGATGGACCCAGTCCTTAAATTTAAAAAGCAGCTATATACTTTCATTTATAAAGACCCAATTTATATTGTGTAAAATATTATTTAGAAAAAAAAAATGGTTTCTATTACATTATTATTATTATGCATTTTACTACCCACTATAGTACTGTTAGATTAATTATTTATTGAAACAAATTTTTAATTTATCTTCATTTAAAATATTTTTATTAATTATTTCAAATAATTAATTTAATCATTTTTTTTATTTTTTTATTAATTACTTATTTTAACCTAATTGTTATTGTATATTTATTTTAATCAGTTTTTTTATTTATTTAGTTAATTACTAAATAGTTAGTTAAGTTAGTTAGTTAATTAATTCATGTTTTTATAAATTATTTATTTATTTAAACATAATTGTTATAGTTTGTTTATTTATTGTAATATTTTTATCATGTATTTATTCTCACAATTTATGTATTGTAATCAAATTAATTAATGAATCAATCTTATTTAATCTTTTGTTTTATTTAATTAATTTTAACTGAATTATTATCATTTATTTGTTTTAATACATTTATTTATTTAGTTTAATCTTGTATTTTATTATTGATTTATTTTTCAATTTTTACTCTGCCTTGCCCCCCCTGTGCTTGATGACTGAATGTGAGAGGCTGTGTGTGTGTATGTGAATGCTGCACATAATGCGTCGCTCCAGGTAGGATGTCTCTAGAGAGAGCGAGAGGACTGTAAGGCGGCTCATTGGGTTTCGCAACAGAGCTTTTCTCTTCTATAAATCCAGTAATTCTGGTCTATAAACGTCCTGACATCTGGGAAAAGAGAAGGACAGAGATGACAGTCTTTGGTCTACACCCGAAAGAGAGGGAGAACTGATGTTAAAGAAGAGGCTGCATGCTGAACCCGACGCCCCAGAGGAATGGAGGTGGTGACCTTTGACCCAGAGGAGGTGGTACCTGTGGGCATGGCTGCGGCCTCTGGGGGAGTTGCGGTGAGGGACCCTCCAGTTAGGGCCCAGAGTCGAGTACATGCGGCCCCTGTTTGCACATTCGGCACAATCAGTTTACCGTCAGTGCAGTTTCAGCGGATACTGACTCAAAACAAATATTTAGGCCTAGATTTATGGAATCGGATCGCATGTAAAATTCCCTCCATGTGAACTACACAATTTTAACATAATTAAACGAATAAACTTCATGTGATGCATATTAGTCAATCATACACAGAAAGAAACGGGATAAATATTTCTGCATTAGTTTATAAGATTTGGCGTAGTTTAGTATTAGCTATTTGCATCTATTGGACTTGATAGAATAAAATGTATGAAAAAAAACTGGATTTATTGATAATAGACACATAAACCTAGTTATTGTATATTTTTAAACACATTCAGTTTATTAGTCCAATCACAGAAATCGTACCCGTTTCATTTATGTATGACTGACAAAAGTTTATTAGTTCAAATTGTGAATTTTTTAAAACTGTATACACTGTCTCACTGACAAATGACAAATGAATTTGTGCAAACGTTAAAAGGATTTTGATTTATTTTGACCTTTTGATTTCTACTTGATGCACCCGATTATTACATGTTCTCATCATTGACTCACTTTCTCTTTTCCATGCAATTAAAATATACAGTACACTGATTACCTTCAACTTCCAAAAAGCATCATTTCCCAGTTCATTCTCCTTGTCCAGTTTATACATCGAGTCTTCTGTATTCATATATTCCTGCACAAACTTAAGACTAGTGCAAATATTGAAATGCTATCATGGTGTTTAACAGCGGTCTGCTATTGCATGGAAAAGAGCTGGTGAACATCTGCTAAACATTTCCTTATGTGTTTCACAGAAGAAAAGAGGCTATACGCTCTGGGTGAATAAATGACACTTCATTGTCAGGTGAACTATCCTTTTAAACCTTAAAGGGTTAGTTCACCCAAAAATGAAAATTAAGTCATTAATTACTCACCCCCATGCTGTACCAACCCCGTAAGACCTTCGTTCGTCTTCGGAACACAAATGAAGATATTTTTGATTAAATTTGAGAGCTGTATAACTACCACATTGGCTCCTAAGGGACTGCCTCTTGACGGCCCAGAAAGTCAATGAAGAAAATGTTTAAATAGCCCAAGTGACTACCGTGGCTCAACTATATGTTTATCAAGCGACGAGAATACTTTTTGTGCGAAAAAATAACGAGTTTATTCGACTATTTCTTTTCTTCCTTGTAGGCCAGAACGAGACTTCCTTAGATTTCCACGACGCATGCGCGAGATTTGCGATCTGAAGTAGTGTAAGCTGGTGTAAGCAGATCGCAATTCTCGCGCATGCGTCGTGGAAATCTAAGGAAATCTCGTTTCTGGGATTTAATGACTTAAAATTAATGACTTAATTTTCATTTTTGGGTGAACTAACCCTTTAAACTGTTCTGAGACCAGTTTTAGTTGTGTTATAGTGTTTTGCTCCTGTAGAATGGACATAAATGGATGTTAAACAACGGGAAACGACGAATAAACAACAACAAAAATAAGTACAGTTGAAATTTGAATGAAAAGGGAAATAAAAGACATTCTTTTTAGAACTCTGATTTTAAATCTACAGTATTAAAGATACATGGCAGTTGATCATGTGATGGTTGCATGGCAACACTTTACAATAAGGTTAATAAACACTGTGACTGTTAAATGAGACCTTATTGAAAAGGATACAAGTTAGATTCCGTCTTATTAGTAATTTTTAGACTTCTAGGCCAGAAAATAACTTTTCTTTTTAATAATAGTTCAGTTTTACTCTAGAATGATCTGAGTAACCCATCATAAAGCTGCAATGTGCACAGATGATATTAGGACACAACTATGACATGTCTCACCTCTCGAGTCCCGGGGAAAGATCACCACACACTGAACTCTGACTGCTGCCTGTCAAACAGAAACACACACATCTGACAGTGATAATGAAGCATTTAAGTACAGAAAGCAGTTCAGAATAACATTCTAGGTAAAAAAAAAAAGCAAGAGTTGTGGAGTAATGTTGATACCCTAACAATAACTAAGGTTAATAGTGGGTCTCTACAGTAATGTTCACTTTATTGACCATTCGCCGTGTAGAATAGAAAAATGACAATAACAATGGAAGTACATCAGGTCAGGCATTAAGAACATAAGACTTTACTGTTTGTGATCTGTGTATGCCACAAATGCTTAAAGGGTTATTTCACCCAAAAATGAAAATTCTGTCAGTATTTACTCACCCTCATGTTGTTCCAACCCCGTAAGACCTTCGTTCATCATCGGAACACAAATTAAGATATTTAAGATATTAAGATCGCTCCTGCATACAGTCCATAGGCTTCTTGAGGGAATGACACTTGCTGTCCTCAAAGTCATTAAAGACATCGTTAAAATAGTCCAAGTGACTACAGGGGCTCAATCTTAAGTTTATCAAACGACGAGAACACTTTTGTGCGCAAAAAAACAACAAAAATAACGACTTTATTTCAACTATTCGTTTATTTCTCCCTCTGCGCGAGTCAGGTTACTAGTTTAATAGCGTAAGCTTCTGTTATTGTACGTCACACGCATCACACACATGACCAGCGTCGGCCAATAGTCGTGTGACGTAGCTCTACGCAATCACACTACGTTAACTGACTTACAGGCTCATGGAGAAGGAAGTGAATAGTTGAAATAAAGTCGTTATTTTTGTTTGTTTTTGCGCACAAAAGTGTTCTCGTCGTTTGATAAAGTTAAGATTGAGCCCCTGTAGTCACTTGGACTATTTTAACGATGTCTTTAATGACTTTTCGAGTCATTCCCTCAAGAAGCCTATGGACTTGTATACAGGAGCGATCTTAATATCTTAAATATCTTAATTTGTGTTCCGATGATGAACGAAGGTCTTACGGGGTTGGAGCAACATGAGGGTGAGTAAATACTGACAGAATTTTCATTTTTGGGTGAAATAACCCTTTAAAATGACCCAAACCCGAGACACGCAGTGCTTGTGGTTGTCGTGATACCTATAGAGACGCCGTTGGACACGGATGAGCCGTGCGGATTGATCCGGGCCGGACTCTGAGACTCTAAGAAGCTGTCGTCCAGCAGGTGACGGGCTTTCTCTGAGGGGAACGTCACACTTTTACTCTCCGCCACACCGAAATGCCACATCATACTGAGAGAGAGAGAGAAAACCATCATGAGGAGCAAACGGGAGTGTGTCTCCCTCGTCCACTTGTGATCCGATCAACCAAAACACATCTTGATACCAGGAGGAAACCGGGCCTGAGTGTGTGTATACCAGTGGTGGAATGTAACGAAGTACAAATACTTTGTTACTTTACTTAAGTACATTTTTTCACGTATCTTTACTTTACTTAAGTAGAATAAATATTAGGGCTGGGTATTGAGACAAATTTCACAATTCGATTCGATTTCGATTCACAAGCTTGCAATTCGATTCGATTTCGATTACGATTCGATTCGATTCAATATTAGATTATTTTGGATATCAGTTACAATAAATGGCCATTTTTCTCAAGGGAATCAAATCTCTTAAATGCTGTAAACTATGGGAGTCTAGTTGTAGCCAATAGACTTCATTAGCCAAATATGAAGGTAATAATGAACTGTTTTGTAGCTATACAAACACTTAAATTACACTTTTATTTATTTTTATAATAAGAAGATTATATGAAATATAAACATTTAAATGGTGGCTGTCATAAAAACATACCAGATTTATTCAAATATGCATTAAATATTGAAGAACATTAAGATTATAATGCATATGTAATATGGTGTATATATTTAGAGTTATTTTTTCTAGCTGACTCGAGTTGATGTGGGTTTTCTGAGGTAAACATGACGATACATGACATTGATTACAAGCTGTTTAACTGACGTCTTTCCACGGTTGAAACGCTGATTGAGCGAATCAATGTGACATGATACGGATTTCGATAAGTTGTACTCTATCTTTAACACACTTTCAGATGCTCGTTCATGTTTATTTGGCGCTGTGACTGGTATTATTAACCCGGAAGAGAGATCAGCGCTGCTGCTTCTCCAGAGCGATCTCACGCCACAGCGCCAAAACGCTATTTATGTTTTTGAATTTCTAAAGAAAATGGACGTAATTTGAAAATTGAGATTTTGTTTCATATCAATAGTAACAAAGGACAAAGATTATTGCGATTTTTTGCATGCGCGCAGCCGCGATACAATGTCCCATTCATTCAAATGAAACAGGATGACTAATCGATTCTTGAGATTTAAGAATCAATATCGGTTCGTAAAAATGAGAATCGATTAATATCGAGAAATCGATATTTATTACCCAGCCCTAATAAATAGTGCATAGGCTACTTTTTACTTTTACTTCGTTACATTTTGCAGCAATTATTATACTTTCTACTCCACTACATTTCTACAACTTCTGTTATATTTTCATTACATTTTCTGATCAGTTTTTCCCCTGCCAAAACGTAATCTGACCGTCCGTTCGTTGCACGTTTGTCTCACCAGTGACGTTTGGTTGCCATAGATACATCAACCTGGTTACACTAAATGCGTCTCGCACGCAGTGTGTTTATCATACGCGATAATTAGTTTTTATGTGCATAGGAAACGCACCGTGTGTAATATACGTTTGGTTAGGATTATGGCAAGCCAAGAGGTTCAGAATTACACCATAAATTAATCGCGTTTACTGCCATAGTTATTACCTTATAGTAAGGATAAGCATGATGTGCATATTGCCTAATTGCAAGCTTGTTTCAGAAATGGTGACAACATTTTTTTTCCTATCATTATAGGAGTATTAGGTTGAATGAGTTAGAATTAAATGTTTTAATAATCATTAGAAAACAGACATTAAGAAAATAAATTATGCAAGTACTTTTACTTTTAATACTTAAAGTACATTTAAAATCAGGTACTTTTTACTTAAGTATGGTTGTTGTTACTTCTACTTTTACTAAAGTAAATATTTATCTGGTTGTTTGTACTTTTACTTAAGTAAAACTGAGATTCAGTACTTCCTCCACCACTGGTGTATACATGAGAAGAGAGAAACGCACGCGTTGCCGAGGCTGTGGCTCTTCCTGTGGCGTGAGGGCGGTGGGGTGGGAATGTGGACCCCCACGCTGGCATCAGGACACGTGGGCCGTCGATTATACCTCACCAAGAACGGCACCTCAGACGGACCTGGAGGAGGAGAACGAGAGGATGAGCTGTGCCTGATTGTAGTCAGCATTACTGAGACAATTACTGAGAAAAGCCCTGGAGACTGTCAGCGAGACTCAAACACACAACAACTGAACACACTCTGAGAGAGGAACACACAGAGCATCCACGGCACGTGCTTTTCTTCATTTTTACATTTACATTTAGCAGACGCTTTTATCCAAAGCGACTTACATCTGATGACTAAATCAAACAAGTCATCGTGAAGCAACTAAACAATGAAAAACACCTCTATAATAACATTTGTTGACATTAGTTAATGAATTAACTAACATACACTAACAATAAGCAATATTTTTTATAGCATTCATGAACTTTTTTGTTGTTAGTTAATATAAATGTTCATGTTAGTTCATATTGCACACATTTTAAACCTAATATGTATTAGAAAATGATTAATTAATAAACGAAGATTAATAAATAATAAATGATGTAGTTGTTCGATAATGTAGTTAATGTTAAAAAATAAAACCTTATTGTATTATTATTAGCTTTTATTTTCATGTTTTAATGTTAGTTTTCTTCATTTTATGTGATTTATATATTCCTATTTAGCTTTATTGATATCTCAGTTTTGTTTGTGTCATTTTAGTACTTCAAATAAAAAAAAAAATCTAATTTTTTAGTTATTTGTCAAGGCAACATTTCTAAGTATTGTTTTTTTTTGACAATGATATTCAATAAAATAAATGTTCTTTTGTAAAATAGCTTGAAAATCATCATTAGCGATGCAGAATATTTCTCTCATGATCATCAGTATTATACTTCGATGTGGATTGGTCAAGTTTCCACTCAAATCCCTATTTGACAATGGCCAACTAAATAACCAGAAGACCCTAGCAACTGCATAGCAACATGCTTAAATCATATAGAACATCATAGCAACCAAACACCATCACAACACCCATAGCAACATCACAACCCACATTACTTTAACACATTTACTGCAAATAATGTACAAATCTAGTTATGTGCAGAATACTTTCATTTATGCATTTACCAGTTGCTTTTTCTAAAATAGAGGAAATTGAGCAAATCTGATTGTTTTAAATGTTTTTAAAGGGATAGTTCATCCAAAAATGACAATTCTAGCCCTCATGTTGTTATGAACATGTATGACTTTCTTTTCAGATATCCTGTGTTTCACAGAAGAAAGTTATTGTTTGGATCCACTTTATGTTTGGGTGAGATATTTCTATTAAAACATGTGGTCAGATCGTCTCAGACTCAAGATTTCCACAGTGGACAAAAAAGGGGAAGTGGAAACAATGTTAATGACCCTAATCACGCTGAGATACTTAACACCATTTAATGGAGAGAATTAATGGAGCCTTAAACAGTGATCAGTCTCTTCCAGTCTGGGTCAGCCGAATACTTTACATGTTTCCAACATGCAAATACCTGAACGCCACAGTGAACGCCACACCTGGGTCTTGTTAAACCCTCATTAATGAGTCTGACTACCAGCTCGTATAGGCCTCGTCCACACTAACACGCTTCTGTTTGAAAACGCATCTTTTTCTCTCCGCTCAGGCCTTGGTGTTTTTGTCAAAGAAGACAGAGCTTTTTTAAACCACTCTCCAAAGTTAACACCATTTTCACGTTGTGGATTGAAAACTGAGGAGTTGATTGGACTAAATGTATGTGGCTGTTATCAAAAAAGCATCAGAGTTTCGCCTCCTGTTCTTCTATACTCTTTGGCAATGCTCTGTTTAGATCCAGTCTCTATGAAGCCCCTCCTTCTGTAAAGCACACTGTGCTCTGATTGGTCGAGCACTTCGAGTGTGTTTGGGAAATGTTCCGCCCCTCACCATAACCGCCAGTTTAACACACTACTAACTAACTCAACCAGGCCCCGCCCCTTTATTCTGCATATTAATTATTTAAATGAGGAATATTGTGACGTGTTTGTTCCCAGAAGAAACTCAAGACTATAATGGAGGCGTTTCAGGAGTTCACAAACACTGACACTGAGGGACTTGTGCTTTATAACTTTGCAGACCTTTTTCATGCTCAAACGGCAACATTACACACTAAAGAAATGTAAAAAAGCCTACTAGGTCATCGACATGCTTTAGTCACTACATCATACTTCAGTTTCTGTTATTTCATAGTTTTGACGACTTATATCATAAAAAGTCATAATAAAGGAAAATAAGAAAGGGCTGTGCTCGAATGTTTTTATGTGTTTTCTGGCCTGAGTTTTGTGGACAGATCTCATTTCCTCGGCTGGACGTCTTGACAAACACTTCTACTGGGTTACGTAACAGCCAATCACCATGAGACTCCAGGAAAGACCTTGTCCGCCCACCATGTGGCTGAGACGTGGCCACAGGCATCCCATTCAATAAAAGATCATTTTAAATATACCAAACACTGCTTTATGTCACGCATTGGCATTTAAGGATAAACCGAAGAGGAAACAATGACAAATGAAAAGCATAATGGTGTTAATATCCCTGGACCGCTGCATTACATTACACTCGGTCGATCATCTGGTGATGATATTCAGATGGCATGATCCTACACATGTCTTGAGCACATGACGTTATTTAACAATCTAAAACTTTTGGACTGAAATCACTACAAATGTTGTAGACGTTAACCTTAGGCCTTGGAATGAGAATATAACGTGTTAGTAAATGGCAAGAGTGGCTGAATGGTTACAGATTGTCTTGGAAACCCAACAAACAACATCCAGATTGAGCTTTATGAACATGGAAACCTATAGATTTGGTTACAAGGCTCAGGAGTAAATGCTTAGATACGATACACACAACGAACTTACATTATGACTGGAAAACCTCAGTTGGCTCGCCGTGACCTCACGGGCAACAGTGTTTTACAATGTGATGTACTTTAACATCCAGCATTTACAATGTATGACTCAACAGTTCAAAGAAACCCACATCCATATGTTCATTATATGGCTAACATTCACCACAGATCCTGAAAGTGCTCTCAGATCGTTTGAATTTGTTATAAGTACTTAATTATAAGTAATTAGGGAGTTAATGATTATGATTTATATTTAAATATTAGTGAATATATATATATATATATATATATAATATGAAGAGTTCAGATGCAAAAGCCTCTAAGTGCCATTTGAAATTTTCTTCTAAAATGATCATTTTTATCAAGCTTGTATATTTAAGTTCAGTAATTTCACTTAAATGGCAATGAAGATTACCTATTAATTGTCATTTAAGTGAAATTACTGAACTTAAATATATAAGCTTGATAAAAATAGTCATTTTAGAAGAAAATTTCAAATGGCATTTAGAGGCTTTTGCATATATATATATATATATATATATATATATATATATATATATATAGTGATTTAATCCATTAAACAAATCTACACTGTAAAAAAAATATTTTCAAGATTTGTTATCACAACATTTTTTCTTTTGTCAAATCAACTTAAATAATTTTTTTAGTTCCGATAAATTAGTATTTTTAGTTTCTGATGATTAAATCAATCTCCTTCATTGTATTAACTCACTTTTTTCAGTTCAATCAACTTAAAATTTGAAGGCAACCAGGTTACTTATTTTTTTTAAGTTAAACCAACAATATTTTTGCCAACTATTGTTCACTGTAAAAAACATTGTTGGTTTAACTTGAAAAATTAAGTAACCTGGTTGCCTTCAAATTTTAAGTTGATTGAACTGGAAAAAGTGAGTTAATACAATGAAGGAGATTGATTTAATCATCAGAAACTCAAAATATTATGTTATCTGAACTATATAAATTATTTAAGTTGATTTGACAAAAGAAAAGATGTTGTGATTACAAATCATGAAAATATTTTTTGCAGTGTATGAGCATTGAGCAAAAACACACACTGTAGTTTACTCAAGTTAAAATTAAGCGTAAAATTATTATACATAATATTATAGATAATTATGAGTAACTATAGTATATTAATGGTAAATTAACCCCCTAAACATCATATAATCCAAGTTTATTATCTCTGATGAAATATTTCGAATGTCTAAGGCATTTCAAACCAAAAAAATGAGTGATAAAAGAAACAAATAGTAGGCATAAATTGAATAAATCAAGCTTCTTGATGATGTCAGATATATCTTATGGTTATATATCAAAATTAAGTATTAAGTAAGTATATAATCAATTTTTTTCTTAGTGTTTTCTGGGCTCAGTGATGGATGCCCCCGTCTGGTGGTGTAATGTGGATTGCTGTGCTGTGTTACGAGGGATCCGTTGAGAGTCATTACGTGCTGTTTGTTTTCTCAGCCCACATTACAGCCCATTCCAGTTCCCTTTGCTCTTTCAACGAGTCAAAGAGGACGGGCCCCCCTCGGCCCCTCAAAGCCCTTCATTAACTCCAACATCAGGGGCCAGTGACCTCATTCAGTCAGGCTAGAGAACATAATGGATGCTTGGGGAAATAGACTATCTCTTCTGTACAGTAATTTACATAGGCTACATTCAAACGTTTGAGGTCAAGAAAAGCCAGTTCAAACAAAGAACAATAATGCCGATAACTAAACAACACTAACAGACAGATATCGTCCAGTTAAAGGGATACTTCAGGATTTAGCATTAAGATTTGTATTAGTAGGAAACCTATAGTATTTTCGAATTACCGTGCTTTACACCCTCATATCCCCCTGAGACGAGAGATTTATGTATTTTTGGTCGGGAAAAAAATCCTCTGATGACACAAAAATCGTCGTCCAGAGACTAAAGACTACAGTCAGTAGTAGGGTCTGTCCCGCATGTCCTCAACCCGCCCATAGAGGGCGATCTCACTCACAGAATGAACACATAGTGTCGGCCATCTTGTTTTGGAAGCTAAGCTAGCAGGCTCTTGTTCTGTGGAGAAAGCTAAGTAGTCGGGTTTTCCCGGACACGTCCGGCTGTCGATGTCCGGGATTCAGCTTTTGCTTTCTGGAGTCGCAATTCATTGTTTACATGCACAGCTTTTGTTTAAATTCTGATTGGTGAATCTGAATGTAGTGTTTACATGAACGCTAAACAAGTGATCGGGTGATGTGCGTTTTAACATCGCTAAGAAAATTCCCGCTCCTCAGTGAGAGATACGAGACCGGTGCGTCTCACAGGTGTCGCTCATCGGTAATCACGCCACCGGCCTCGCGCCGTTCTCCCGCGGCCCTCACTCGTCCCGCTTGCCACAGGAAACATGATGAACGGCGACTGTAGAACGCAAAAGCCGAATCACGGACATTTTGGGCGATCTCGAAACACATTTTCGGGCAGACTCATCACGAGACTCACTAGTAGCCTAGACTTGTTGTTTAACGACTGCGCTTTGTTACCGGTAGGCGTGGCCTCCTAGGGGAGCGAAGCAAGTGCATTCTGGGAGTTGTTGTCTTTCATCCACATAAGCCCAAAATACATTTTCTGGCTTTTCTCAGTCTAGAAAGCTCCAAATTCAAAAATAATTCCACATTTCTTCAACATAAATGACCTATTTTAAATACACACTCATCTTTCCTGAGGTGAAGTATAACTTATAAGCACGCACTGCAGTTTTGTCATCTGCCACTTTAAATGGTCAAGCTCTTTAAAGAAGGATGGATTCTCACTGGCTTTAGCGTTAATTAGCTGGAATAAAAAATGCATTAAAAATCCTGGAAAAGTATGTGCCAGTTTCCATAACAAAGTATGAAGCAGCAAAACTGAAGCAGCAACATTGATAATAATCAGAAATGTTTCGTGAGCAGCAAATCAGCAAATTAGAAAGATTTCTGAAGGATCATGTGAAAAGAAATCAGCTTTGATCACATGAATAAATTATATTTTTACAATATATTCAAAAAGAAAAGTTATTTAAAATTCTAATAATATTTCACAATTTTTACTGTATATTTGATCAGTGTATAGTTGTGTACGGGGTAAAGTAATAGTTATATAAAATACATGAAACACAAGAGTAGCTTAGTTTGAAACTTAGACAAATTTTTGGTTGAACTATTCCTTTAAACCAAGCTAGAAGATATTGATCAATCCTGTGGATTTAATAATAATATTTCACAATTTTACTGCATTTTATATCATCTAATTGAGAGACTTCTTTCAAAAACATAAAAAACTAATACAGAATTGCTGTGTAAATTAAATGAACATAATTCGTATAAATGAACATAACTTGTCTTACCTGCAAGATCTTCTTTAGATGTGGCCAAGCGTGGGGAGCTGTTCCCGGGTTCAATTTTTAGAGACAGTCTGTAATGGAAAGAACAAGCAAAAGTCTCACAAAAAAACTCCACAAGTTCCATGAAGTTTCAGGGTGGTGCATTATTTAATATTTCAAATCCAACTTATGTCTGGCTGAAGGTCCAGGCTTTGAGCATGAATGTAGTTGAAAAGGATCTGCCATAAACCCCAAATAAGACGTGTTATTGAAATCATAACATTTCACCCTCAACCAACAGCGCAACTAAAGCACTCAGATTTTATGTTACTATAAAATATGTCACTTTGAATTAAAAAAAAGTATATCATGGAAAACAGGCTTTTTCTTGCTGCATGTTTCATATTAAAGAGTTCGATGAAGTAGACACTCAAAACTTTCCCCCAGTGCACTAAAAACATGTCTTGACAAATAACTGAAAAATGACTCATCAGGACATCAAAACTACAAGCTCATTAACATATGACCCCATACATCTAAACATTAAATGTTGGCTTTAATTAATTTTCAATGTAAACAGGTTCCACATAACTGGGTTACGTTAAACAAACATTATTTGTTCATGTAACTTCAGCATACTTTTAAGCGACGAACACTGAAACTGTGTTTAAGTTAATGAGATAATTAAGCGAATAATTGAGGGATGATTGACCATTACTGAAGAAAACAAGCAGAATCACTGAAGGAGAAAATTCGTAAGTCACCATTATGGTGATCATTGTGTGTTTTAGTTGGGCTCTTAATCAACTTTAACACTGCTTCAGTGTTCATTTAACACTCTGCTCAGAGCTTAATTGGGTCGCTTAAAATGACTTATTCCATGATGTCGAAGTTACATGAATAAATTATGTTTGTTTAACATACTGTAACCCAGTTTTTTGGAACCTGTTGACATAAAAAAGTTAATTAAAGCCAACATATAATTGACCTGTCCTAATGAGCCTGAGCCTGATTTCATCACTTACAAAACAACAGATCTACCACCACTTCATCTTTCAAAATCCCTTTCCTATAAAAGGCTCTTAAAGGCCTCTGAGGTGAAGTAACACCCCACAGTTCACACTCACATTTGGCTTCACAAGTCATGAACTTGACATTGAGAACAGCTGGCCGATAACATTTCACGTTTTTATAGGGGAACAGAAGGCACTCATTGTTAACAATCCAATAAACTGAACTGTAATCTCTTATTTCCACACCATCAACTGCGATTCACAGAATATGCTAAAGTAGTCTTTTTAATGGTGTTTTGGCACAATGTAAAGTGAGCTTTTGAAAGGAATAGTCAAAATAAACACTGTGAAGCCAAAAGTTTCTGTATAGCTAAAACAGAAGATCATGGCGCTAGCAACGCAACGGTCACAGGTTCGATTCCCAGTGAATGCATGAATTCGCTTCAGATAAAAGCATCTGCCAAATGCATTAATGTAAAAACTTTGAATTTGTACAAAAACGTGATTTTTGTATGACGCTATAAGCAAATTAGGATGTTAAGGTTTTGATTTTCTACATCTGTTGAAAATGTGAGAACAAGTGAGAGATGTGAGAACAAAAGGCCAAATTATTGACAAAATAATTAATGTTCCTAGAGCTCTGATTTAAAGGGTTCATGACATGGATTTTTAAAATCAAATATTTTAATTTTTCTTGTAATGTTAATAAAATTAAATAAATTTCACAAAAACCTGTGGAAAAATAATTTTCAACCTTTATTCTGATTTGTTCACAGTTATAATTAATTATTTGACCCTCTGGGGTCGGCGGTATCGCCGGCGATACCAGCTCACTTTTTTTTCTTATAAGTGCAAAAGAGACTCAAATTACTCTGCTGATTTTGATCATACATCATTATCATACATCGTTATACATCATTCAATCCTGTTAAGTGTCTATTTTTTGCGTATACTCACAATAAAAACAGTGTTCTGCTGTTTGTCAAATAAAGAAAAATAAACACGCGCATTTTGCCTTCTTTCCGTCAGTGAAGTTCATTCTGAAAAGTGTCCGAAAAATGAACTATAACTAAGTAAATACTTGTCACAGAGACATGAAAGATTTCTCTTTATGATGCTGTAATTCTCTTCTTTTAAATGAAGTAATTTATGTAAAAAAACAACCATTCTCAGTTGATGTAATCTGTATGAAAAGAGAGAGATGTCAGTCTTTTTTCTTCCAGCTAATTATAGTGTATGACGTGCTAATGTGACCACGCCCACAGTGCGCTATTCAAACGCTAATGTTGAGGCAAGCCATGAAAACGCCTACACCAACTGGATAAAACATCCAGTTTAACATTCAAACAAACAACAGATGTGGCGTTATCAGTTTTCTCACAGCAATTGGACATTTATTGACGTTTATGACCGAACAAGAGATCTATAACTGCGTGTCTGTAATAATCAAATCACTGGATATTTTCAGAAGGCTTTGACCACACTTCATCTGCAGAAATGACATCTGTAAACCTTTGTCCAGGAAAATTCAACCTGATTTACACTAAACATAAACAGACTACATCTATTGATAGCCAAAGAAAATAGCAATTCAACAACCTGGAACAGTGTTCAGGAGATCTGTGAAAGAAAAGATCAGATTCTTCACGGATAACACACTGCTTTTAAGGAAGTTGAAATATTCCGAGTCAGATAAGTGGCGGGTGAGAATAATTCCCAGGAGAAACGATAATTACAGCAATCAATCATTCTCTTGTTTTGAGCTTAACAGCATTTCTCAGTCACGAAAGCAAAAATCTTTACCGATGAGACTGGCGTGACTTAACAGAGGTTGAGAGTTCAGCGAGCAGACTCTTCCAAACCTTAACAAGACTACATTTTTAGGCCTCAAAGACGAGGTGAAATAAAATGGCAAAATGATGCTGCCTAGACAAATCCTAAAGCAGCACCACATGTATCCTAGATAAGCCATTTCTAGAGTGCACTGCGACAAGCTCAGTCAACTCAGTCAATACTGCAGAGTATGAGCTAATGCCAACTAAACATGGCAAATTTTAAAAAGGGAATATTTCAACCAATTTTTGTGTGCAATGTTAAAGGGATAGTTCACCCCAAAAATGAAAATTCTGTCAGAAGTCAAAATTAAACATGATTTAATGACTCATAAATGTAAGTACACACTGATGGCCTAAGACACAAAACGAGCGGTTTGTGTGAGAAAACCAATAGTATTTATATCGTTATACCTCTTGTAATCATAGCAATGACAAAATGATCTGACGGCACGGGCGCTTCGGTCTGCGCATGCGCCGGAAGTGATCGCTTGCGCGCCTACGTCACTCTTTGTTTATACAGAGATTTCTGAAGTTTTACCTTTCACTAAACATATTTAGATATACGGGAATCCGCAATGGAAGACGATTTCGGTATATCTAAATATGTTCAGTAAAAGGTAAAACTTCCGAAATCTAAGTGTAAATATTGAGTGACGTCACACGCAAGCGATCACTTCCGGCGTAACATTGAACTGATTCAGTTCGGTTCAGTTGGACATTGCACAACTGATTCAGATCACTTGGATTACACGAGGTAAAAACGACATAAATACTGTTTGTTTTCTCACAAAAACGTTTCGTGTCTTAGGCCATCAATGTGTACTTACATGTACGAGTCATTAAATCATGTTTAATTTGGACTTCTCTGTGCATGCTCTTTGGTGGACCCCCTTAGCCTCCAGTGTATGACTGATGGACAAGAACGGTTTGACTGAAAAATGTCAAAATTGAAAATACTGCGGAAACAAAGACACCTACATCTTGGATGCCCTTGAGGTAAGCTAAAACATATCAAAAATAAATTTCAAAGTGAACTATCCCTTTAAGAGTACACATTTACATGGCAAATATGCAAAACGTTTATGCATTTGAAATAATGTAGAACGGCCTCTGCGTCTGGTGTGTGAAGTTGATTTTCCACCCTAGTGCATGTGTAGTGTTTCCAGACCGGTGGATCTAGAGCCGACCGCTTCTTTCATGTTCTCAACCCATCCAGAATACTGGCACTGGAGCAGAAAGTGAGATGGCCAGCGCTTGATGAGGGAGGCTGGGGTTTGGAGATTTGTCGGGGAGGGATAAAGCCAGCAGAATGATGTCAATTCTGGATGAACTTCAATAGCCCACCCTACGGTTTCCATGCGTTTGTGGCCATGCGAGGTCGTAACGGGGTCACAGACGAGACGTCACCATGGAGACCACATGAGAAACGCCGACTATCATTATGATCCACTCGCACTTTTTTATCTCTTCTGGGGATTTGGACTTCAGCCCATCTCACCCGCAATAAAACAGCCTTGAGCTGTGCGAAAAACACCCTGGAGGTTTGAGATACGGCAAACCACAAATATCCCTCATGACAGATGCTCAGAGTTCCTCCGTTGTATAAACAGAGCCGGATCCAGAGGCGGAGTGGGACCAAAACATCTACCGGGAAATTTCGTAGACCACCGGCCCTCGTCGCCGGCACGATTTTAATAGCCGATCACATTTACAGTTTTACTGATTTAAAAGGAACTTTGTTGTACTTTCCCATAGAAATTTCTAAAACTATGTTGGGTGGACTCTGTGCCTCTAGGGGGGTTCGGGGGCATGCTCCCCGCAAGAAAATTTTGGACATTTTAAGGTTAAATGCATCAATCTCGTGCTCTCTGAGAGATCACAATTAAGAGCTTCAACCCATGAGCTGCTCGTTGAACAAAGAAAAAGTAATAATTTGTACCAGGACAGTAAACAGGGCTCAAACATCTTTTTAGTTATGAGAGTCTCAGTCTGCATTACATTATTAATAGTGTTTTAGGATGCCAAACATTTATTATAATAATGTAATAATGATTTATAATTATTCCTATGACATACTGTAAATGTACTATGTAAATGAAAATGAGTATTTAAAAAGTATATTTTAACCTATAAAAATATACACTATAATATAGGAAAATTAAAATACTTTTGTCCTAATTTCTTCACTTGCAAGAAATAAACCCTTGAGCTTTTATTTAGGAGAAAATACCTGACCATGATGATCGCGTGAGCAAAGTAATCACGCAGCACAAACTGGATGCTATTCGAATGTCAGTTATTATAATGGCGCAAAGCCATATCGTGGTTTCACTTTTAGTTCGTTGGCAAAATATAACGCTAGAGATCTTAATGTTAGGTTTTACGTTTTACATCTTTACATGTGTTGGGAAAAGGGAGAAGAGAGAGTTCGGCAAAAGGCGGATTCGAACTCGCGTTCAGCGCATCAAAAGCTGCTTTCAAGCACTTCACGCCCTACGACCTACGCCACTGAGGCTGTTTCAAGACGGCCGTCGTTTTGCTGTAAAGACAGGCACTTAGTGCAAATATATGCTCCGTTATAGAAAATGTTAAAAATAAAAAAAATGTTTTCTTCCGTTAGCTTGGGCCCCAAGTGCACATGGCGAACTACCAATAAATACATTTTATCAGACTCGAAACACTACAGGCCCACCGGGAAAACTCCTGACTCTCCCGATTGCCACTCCGCTACTGGCCGGATCACACACACTTTAAAAATGTATTGCAGGTCTTTTTATGGTGACTTTACAATAAGAAAGACCCGAAGGCTTGAATGACTACAACTTGTGTTGAATATTTACCTGAACTAAACAAAACAATTCAATTTTTTTTGCAATGCTATCTTACTGATGAGGGTTTGTTGAAGTTATAGGAATGACTTGTGATAGTTTGGATGTTAAAACAGGTTGAAAATTTCAGAAAATTACCGTTTCCCATTAAAAAAAATACACGAAAGGCCACTATAGCTAATAATGCATCAGTAAAAATGACCAGGTCAGAAGAAAAATATCCTTTTTGTGTAGTCTTGACTTTCATTTGTTCTTTCCTGGTTAACACCGATTTTAAGTGTTTTTTAATTGTGTATAAGGCATTTACTGATTGTCCGTTCGGTCCAAGCCAAGAAAACAGTGATTTCAGATGAGCTAAATGAAAGAGTGATGTTGGGATGTGTTTATGTCTGAGTCTGTCACTGATGAACGTCCACAGGAAACACATTTGCTTTCAGACAGGTAGAAAAGTGCTGGGAAACATGATGCTATTGTTTTAAATCTGTTAAAGTGGACTGTTAAAGGACAAATTAATTTTCCCATAATTTCATGCTAATATGATTGCTTCAACAGACGAAATTCAAGGGTGAATCAGGATATTGGACTCACATGTTGAGGGATCGGACTTCTGATACAGACAACAGCCTCTTCAATGTTGAAAAGACAATCACTCTTCCCGCAGGATAAACATTTAAATCCAGCATAATCAAAGGCTCTTCTAACTCGCTCTGATGAATCACTAATACCCAAACTTACTTCACAGATGTTCATGTGGACTGAGGTCGAGGAGAACTAAAGCAAAGACAGAACTACTGCATTCTCTGTAGAAATGGGCATTAAAGCTTCTGGTTAAAGTTGGAGAAAATAATAACTGCTGATTACAATAAATCGACAGAAACCAGAACTGGATCTTATCCCTGGGATTGGACTGTAGTCATGTTCACATTAGCAAAATACAGTGTTCATCCCTCTATTTAAAAGGACAGTTCTCCCAGAAATGGAAATTCGTTACACACACTTGTTTGACTTACTTTTGATATCTTGAAGAATATTCCTGTTGTTTTTGTCAGTACAATTGAAGTTTTTTTTTTTTTTTGTTAGAACATTTTAAAATCAGTGTTACATGAGAAAAACAGATAAAACGGCCCGCAAAATGTTTCTTGAACATCAAATCATCATATTAGAGTGATTTCTGAAGGATCATGTGACACTGAAGACTGGAGTAATGATGCTGAAAATTCAGCTTTGATCACAGGAATAAATTACACTTTACAATATATTAAATTATAAAACAGTTATTTTGAATTGTAAAAATATTTCACAATATTAAAGTTTTTACTGTATTTTTGAACAAATAAATGCAGCCGTAGTGAGTCGTCTTTCAAAATCATAATAAAATATGAATTATTTACACTTTTGACCAGTAGTGTAAACTTCCAAGAGCGCACCGACACAAAACAGGTTGAAAAATGGTGACCTTGCACTCTTAGAAGAAAAGGTTCTATATAGAACCTTAAAAGGTTCTATCAGCGCTACGTATTTGGAACCCCTAAAAGGTTCTATACACTCTTAAAAAAGGGTTCATCTGGGTTCTATATAGAAACCTGGGGTTCCGTACTTGGCCAATAGAACCTTTTACCAAAAAAAAAAAATGGTTCTATATAGAACCATTTTGGAGTTCCATATATGGATGGAACCATTTCTGGTTCTAAATAGAACCATTTCTTCTAAGAATGTGTCCTTTAAACTAAGGCATTGTGGTCATTCTGACTCTAACCAATCAGATCGCACGATTCTTCAATATATATACTATCATAACCAATCACGAAATTAAAAATAAAATGGTCTGAAAATGTTGCTACAAACACCATCCAACTATTTAATTTTAATTTAAACACAATTCTGACACCGAATTGCCGTAAGCATAAAGTAGATATACGTTATATGATTTAGATCAATTGCATATGAGGATTTATGTCTCATTGTTGTTTCCAGCATGTGTTTGGAGTGGACTCACTCGGCCTAAACCCTGCTGAGCTTAAGCAATGCAATGTTGCTCAAACTCACAGAACACCCAGGGCTTTTAATAAAAACACATTGCATTTGTGCAAAACACTATTTAATGGCACAATCAAAATGTCTAAAAGCGGTTTACAGTTTCACCACATTTATGTGATGACTTTGCTTCTTACTGTGCCGACCACCCAAAAAACTAATCACGGTGTTGTTTGCCTATAAAAGCAGTGACCCGTGAATTCCCAGAGTCAAATGCCTAGGGATGCCCGTCCAGAAAGAAATGATGGCTGTTTCCTGGCTGTGGGTTAAATCACGAGTCTGGCCGACGGGTCGCCCTCGCTCTGGGCTTCTGGTGCCACGCGTCCTGCTAAAGTCATCATGATGTTTGAAGGAGCTCCGCTGCAAGTTAAACCTTAGAGACCACGAGTCCCTCACTTACTTGAAATTGTCGTCTTCCACAAACTTCTGAAGCTCCTCGATGTAGCGAACAGACATCAAGTACTTCTGCACATGCGGCAGCGTCACGAGGTGATCTGTGAGGAGGTGGAGGCTATATAAACACACGTGTGTATCAATCTGAGATCCCCCCGCAGATTTGAGGGAAATGAACTGACCGTATGTGCAGGACACCTGGAGGTCAGAGATCACCCGCAGGATGTTGTTCATCTGATTGGTTCTCTGTTGAGTCTCGATGATGCTGTCAGACGCTGGATAGGCCGAGTCGATGTAAATCAAGTCCAGCAGGTAGATCCCTGTGTGTGAGAAATGGAAAAGACACAGACGCATTAAAAAAGAAGTATTAATATTATTTATGGATTCACCGATATACGTACAAATTCAGGCTGATATGATACTCATAATATAACGACCCAAGATGATGTATCGACATGAAACTATTTATTTACCAGCTGACTGCACACTATCTGTCTTTAATCCTAAATAATAATAATTAAAAAAAATAATAAATAAATAAAACGTATTTACTTTAAATATATTTGTAATTCATTAATTAATTCAATTTTATTCAAACAATGTTTTTAGGAAAAAAATACATTTTTTAAATACATTTACTTAATGTATTTAAAATGTATTGTAAATTGTGTAAATACATGTATAATATATTTATATTATAAATAAATGTATTTTATAAATAAACTTTTTTATTTTAATTAATAAATTTAAACAATTTATTTGAAATTATTTAAGCAAATTTATTTCAATGAATAAATAAATAGATTTATTTACATAATTTATAATTATATTTATTGAAATATTATTTATATCATCATAAATAAACAGTTCATAAATAAACTTAATGTGTTAGTGGAAAATTATTTCATTTATTTGAATAAATAAATAAATGTAAATCATTTATTTGGAAATATTTAAATGTAAAAAAATAAATACTTTTTTTTCTTTATTTTCTTTATTTAAACTTAAATGTTAGGGAAATATTTAAATACATTTATTTAATTTATTTGAAATAAAAGAAAATCTAGTACCAATAAACAATAATCTTTGTACAGGCATCTCATGATATAGCAGAAATACTCTGTTTACTCAAGTAAAACTTAAAGAAAGCTTCTTTAACGTGTAAAGAGACTGAGATATACTGTACAGTAGCCCGTCATGCATGGTTATGCTGCATTACCTCAGTCAAGCTGTGATACACATGATACCGACTGACTAACAAGAAGCAGACATATACGGCAGGAACTCTACTAGCATTCATTTTTCCCATAATTATGACTTTTTTATTTTGTAATTTCAATTTGTCATAATTATGACTTTTTAAACTCGTAATTTCAACTTTTTATCTTATACTTTTGACTTTTTATGTCATGATGACTTACAAAAGTATGTTTTTTTTTCTTATGTGGTGGAAATGGGACATTCTACATCAAATGTTGTATTTCATGGAGGAAAAGAAATAATACAGGAGTGTAATGACGTGGGGTGAACTACTCCTTTAATTAGGTTATCTTCTATCATGAACTAAAGCACAGAGTCTGAATTAAACTGGAGAGATCCTGAGAGTTTCAGCGATCCTCAATCAGATCTGCTGGAGAAACTCAGCCGTGGAAAGAATGAAGAACGGTTTTCCATCCGGACAGCTGATGTGTGGAGAGTGAGAGCA